ATATATAATGTGTATGTGTGTGTATATCCCCAGCTTAGTATAACGCAGGCCAGGTTGATAGTAACTGCTTAATCAATTCTGTTCGTTCATTCATTCATTCATCGCTGTGTCTCAGCAAAGTTCACTTTTAAGCTTATGACTCCCAAATAATATCTCTTGTCCTCACACCCACATTCCAGTTCTGTATTTCCAACTGCTTACACATTTCCCCCAGACTCCTCTTGTCACTTCAAACTCAAGTCTAAAATTAAACCAGTCACCTTTCCTCGGCTTTCCTTCCCCAATTGGCTGCCTCTGTCAGTGCGTAATCATTCTCCCAGTCAGCCAGACTCACCACCTTGTACTCCCCTTTGATTTATCCCTCTTCTTCATTCCATCTCTCCACAGCTACTCAGTTTTTCCTGTGAAATATTACTCATTCATCTCTTCTCATCCGGGCTCATTGCCACCACCCTCTGAGATCAAAGCTTTTTATCACTGCCTGGATTTCTTTAGCAGCTTCCTTGGTAATCTCTTTGACTAGTCTCTACCTTTTCTAATCAGGATCCACACCACTGCCAGATTAAACTAAGTCAGGATTTTCGTCATTCTCTTTCCTTCCTGCTGAAAAAATCTTCAATACTATTTTCCATTGTTATGTGTTAAGTTTTTTGCATGATTAAAAAACTATCAATGACCTTTTGTTTTTATATCACCCTCATTTCCTAATGTATTTCTATTCTGCCCAGTCCTTGTAACAAAGGATTTTTTAAAAATGGGGAGGGGGTGTGAAGAGGGGAGTAATTCAGTAAAACTTACCAAAACACTGAATAAGTCTGTGTGTTTTCCACCCTCCAAAAATGGAAACAGGTACATTTTCTCATCTGTTCCGGATCATTATAATTATGCACGATTCAGTTTGGGTTTTTGTTTTTCCCATTTAAATTATTGTAGTAACTGTATTATTTTCCTGGGTCTGCTTATTTTGCTGTGCATCAGTTAATTTAAATCTCATGTTTATCTGAATTCTTCGTATTTGTTTCTTAGACCACAATAATATTTCATTATATTCATGTACCACATCTTATTTAACTATTTCCCAATGAAAGGGCATCTACTTTATTTCCAGTTCTAGTCTGCGAATATGTTGGGATATAAGGAGTATGCTGGTAAATGTTTAACAACTGGCTCTCAAAAAAAAAAAAAAGGTGTACCTGATACATTTTTTAAGTCTTATCTACATTATTAACATTTTCTCCATCACTTTCTTAAGTCTAGACAGTAAACAAAATAATAAATCAAACAATAATTTGTGGCCTTTGTTGATTTCTGCGGTATAAAAGCTCACACTGAAAATTTAACAGTTGGCCCTCCATGGGGACATACCTCTTTGACTTCCTTGAAGTATATATGCCTGGCAGTGAAATCTCTGGGTCAAAGGGCATGAAACATTTTAATTGCTTTTTAAGCATAATTCCAAATTGCAATTACAGAATGGTTGGACCACTTCATAACTCCATCAATAGTGCATTGATATACCTTTCTTTCCACAAGCCCTCCATCACTGACTTTGCCCATCTTTTGACATCATTGCCCATTTGCTGAGGATGAGGTGAAACCCCAGAGCTGTTTTGACGTTTGCATTTTTTCAGTTAGTAGTGATTTGGGGCATTCTTTCATATAGCTCTTAATAGTTTGTAATTTTTTTTCAAAAGTGTTTATTCATATCCTTGGATCAATTATCCATAGGGGAAGGTCTGCCTGCCTGACTTTCAAGGCCTTTAATAATTGTCTGTCCTTAGGCAGTGTGGTCCAGGAGAGAGAGAGAACTAGATTTGGAGTCAACAGACTTGGGGTCACTTCTTGGCTTTGACATTTGCTACCTGGACGAGCAAGCTAACTTCTCCAGGCCTCTTCTAGAAGCCAGAAGGGGCCTGAGTTGACCTAGATCAACCCCTTCATTTTACAAATGAGGACACTGAGGTCTAGGAGATTAAGTGATTTGCTTCAGGTCACATAGTAAATTCCAAGGGTCAGATTCCAAGGGTCTTAATCAGGGAAATGTTACATGGGAAATATAAAGTCCTTAGTTTAGGTTCAGAAAATTAATTGTACCAAGTACAATATGAGGATTTAGTTTATAATAGGCTGAGTGTGCCAAGTGATAAATTGGTGGCCAAAAATGTTATTTCAGCACTCAGATACACTAATAAAAATATTTTTTCCAATTCAATTTAATTCAGCAAACACTTAAGTGCTTATTGTGTGCCAAGTTCTGTGTTAGGTGCTGAAGATACAAGGACAAAAACTAAAAATACCTACCCTCAAACATCTTATATTTTATTGAGGTGCTGCCACGTATCCACAGCTAAATAAATGCCAGAGATGTTTAAGGGTAGAGAGTGACGTGATCTGATCTGTACTTGAGAAAGATCATTTTGACAACTCAGTAGAGGCTGGATTGGGAACTTGAGGAAGAGAGACCAGCATGGCAGCTATTACAGTAGTCCAGGTGTGAGGTGTTAAGGAATTGTACCAGGGGAGCGGCAGTATCGTAGGAGAGAAGGGTGAAGATACAAGATATATTATGAAGGTAGAAAGACCAGGCCTTGACAACAGCTTGGATATGGGGGCTGAGAGTTAATAAGGGGTTGAGGATGACACCTAGGTTCTGAGCCTGTGGAACTGGAAAGATGGTGGTGCCCTCAACAGTAATGTGGAAGTTTGGAAGTGGGGAGGGTTTGGGGAAAAGATGATGAGTTCAGTTTGGGACGTGTTGAGTTTAAGATGTCTACAATCTGAGATGTCGGAAAGGCAGTTGGAGAGTTTGGGACAGGAATCAGCAGCATAGAGATGGTCATTAAATCCATGGGAACTGATGCGATCACCAAGTGAAGTAGTAGAGAGGGAGAAGAGAAGAAGACCCGTAACACCCACAGTCAGAGAGCGTGACCTGGATGGAGAACCGGCAGAAGAGACTGAGAAAGAGCAGGAAGAGCAGAAAGGTAGGGGGGAAGAGGACCAGGAAAGGGCAATGTCATGGAAACCTCAAGAGAAGGGAGAATCAAGGAGAAGAGCACAATACCCAGGGTCGAGGCTGAAGAGAGGTCAAGCACGATGAGGATTGGGAGAAGGCCACCAGATTTGGCAACGAAGAGACTGTAAGCCACTTTGGGGAGAGCAGTTTCAGTCGGCCTGGAAAGCCCGACTGCAAGTAGCTCAGAAGACGGTGGGAGGAGAGGAGGTAAAGGCACCAGCATAGTCAGTCTCCTCCAGTTTAGCCAGAAGAGGGAGGAGAGAGATAGGATGATAGCAGTGACTGAGACTGATTGAGACAACTCGCCTTCTTTAATTGTCCAATTAAACGTTCACTAGGCACCTCAGAAATTTGCAAATGCTGCAAATTAGGGCTTGCTTTATTGCTATTGTCCAGACTTAAGAAAATGGTGGAGAAAATGGTAATGATGCATATTAAGCTTTAAAATGTGTTATGCTTATATTCCTCCCCCCGTCTCCTATACTACCCCCCAAGAGCTGGATACCAGCACACCCATTTACCAGTCATACCGTAGGGGGCTTCATGTGTCAGGCTGAAGATTTTGTACATCGTCCTAGAAGCAATGGGAAACCACCGTCTAAATCAGTGGAAGCAATGAGTCCACCGTACTTTACCCTGCTACATGAGGAGTTTTGTGTTTTGATTCCCGGGCTCATATTTTAAGAGGAACATTGACAAACAAACATTCCATAGGAAGATGATGAGGATATTGAGAATTCTAAAGACCATGACACATAATGAATACTTGATAGGATTGGGAACGAAGTTCTCCTCCAAGAGGAGAAGACCAGGGGAAGAGTGGGGCATGATGGCTGCCTTCAGTTACGTGAAGGGATGTCCAATGGAAGAGAGATGAAACCAGATGTTCTTCAACCTACAATCCATGAACTTGGGTTTTAAAACATTTTTGGTAACTGTATTTCAATAGAATTTGTTTCCTTTTTTGCTCCTCTGTATTTCATTTTATCCATTTAAAAATAAGATTCAGATAAGAAGTCTATCATTGTTGTCGTTCAGTCATTTCCATCGTGCCCAATTCTCCATGACCTCATTTAGGGTTTTCTTGGCAAATAAACTCGATCAGTTTGCCATTTTCTTCTCTGGCTCACTTTACAGAGGAGGAAACTGAGGCAAACAGGGTGAAACGACTTGCTCAGGGTCACACAACTAGTAAGTGTCTAAGGCCAGATTTGAACTCAGGAAAATGAGTCTTCCTGACTCCAGGCTCTGCCCTCTATCCATAGCACCATCTAGCATCAGTTTTACCAAAGGGACCCCTGACACACAAAAAGTTTCAGACTTTTTCTGTTTGATCCCAGGGGAGGGCAGAACTAGGAGCAGTGGGTGGTAGTTGTAGGTAAAAGATGGCAGCTTGGTGGTGCTTTCCAATGATGAGAGATATTCCCAAATGGGATGGAGGCAGTCTTGCAAAGTAGTGATCAATGTATCACTGGGAATGGTTAACCAGCTGCTGGATGACTGTGTTGGGGGGGGGAGGGGGGGATTGCTGAGAAGCTGAACCAAATGACCCCTAAATGACCTCACCAGATCTGAAGCTAAGGAACCTTAGAGAATCTCTGACCCAGTCAACCCCATCCTTTCACAGCTAAGGAGACTGAGACCAAGACAGATTAAGGCAATCTGGTCACACAGGTAAGAGGCCCTTCCAACTCAGAGCCTCTCTGTTTCAGGTATGGCCCATCTTCCAACTAGATTATAGGATCTTTGAGGGCACATGGTTGCTTATGTATCCCCCAAGGTCTGGAGCACTTAGAGAGTATTCCATGATTGAGACCATTTCCTTTCTTTGATCATCCAAAAATCTCATGTGATTAAAGGCCCCGGTTCATTCATTTCCAAAACTTGTAATGTCAAAAGGAAGCAGTATTTCTTCCAATCAATTGTTATCTTACTTTTTTATTGGTTTTTTGTTTTTGGTCTTTTTTTTTTTTTTTTTGGACAGTTCGTCAAGATTTTGCTATCCTTGAAGATGGAGCCCTGGCCCATTGTTTGCAGAAACAAGAAAGTAAGTCTTTTTTTTTTTTTTTTTTTTTTTTTAGCAGTTGGGGTTAAGTGACTTGCCCAGGGTCACACGGCTAACACAGCTAGTAAGTGTCAAGTGTTTGGTCTGAGGTCAGATTTGAAATCAGGTCCTCCTGACTTCAGGGCCGGTGCTCCATCTGCTGCGCCACCTAGCTGCCCCAAAAGTTAAGTCTTTAGAAGCCAGAATTACCCTAACGGCAGCATGAAAAAAAAGAGGCTCATTGAAGCATCTTGTTTTTTACATCACAAATATTTCCCAGCACCAGCTATTCTCCCCAGTTCCCCATCCAAAGACACAATAGACGTGGAGCATCTATGTTTTACAAACAGACACCAAACCAGTCAAACCAAGCAAACCAGTCAACACAACGACGGATAACTTCTGTATGTAGGGGAGGGGGTGTTTTTAATTACATGTCCTCTGCAGTCAAGATTGGGCATTGCATTTCTTCGGAGTTCTGCACTTTAGTTATTATTGTTATTTATGTTATTGGAGCCATTGCACATGCTCTTCTCTCAGTTCCATCTGTTTAAAAATGCCTTCTTACACATCTCTTTTGTTTCCCTGGAGATCCAATGCTTGTTTAAATGTTTAAAAGCTTGTTTCCTTCCTTCCTGTCTGTGCCCAGCAGTGGGATCTCTGAGTAAGATACAAGAATTCTTTCCTGATCTTTTGCAATTGACTGAACTTTGTAAAATTGAGGTTTTCCTCCCATCCACAGATCACAAAGAGTGGTAAGGTGAGGAATCAACGCTCAACCCACTTGCAGGACTGGGGTTCTGTCTGATTGGTCCTTGGCTTGCTTCCCTCCTTTAACTGCTGCTCAGCTGAACGTTATTTGCATTGTAAATTCAATATTTGAAAAAATAAAAATAAATAAGTATAAAAATAATAAATGAAAGATAAGTAAATGAAAAGGATTTTTAAAAAACAAATGAAAGAAAAATCAATGAAAAATATAAAAATAATAACTGAATGAAAGAAAAATAAATAAATAAATAAATAAAAGGCAGAATGAAAATAAATAGGTGAAAACAAACAAATGAATGAATGAATGAATGAATGAATGAATGAATGAATGAATGAATAAATCTGCTTATCTTTCAGGCCAAACAGCGCTCTTCCCTGCCCTCCTTATCGTATGCCGCCCTACTCAATGGAATACCTTGTTAGTCTTTCATCTAGGATTTCAATCATCATTTGGCAATGCAGGGGATAGAGCTCTGGGCCTGATGTCAGGAAGACCTGAGTTCAAATCTGCCCTCAAACACTAGCTGTGTGACCCTGGGCAAGTCACTTCACCCTGTTTGCCTCAGTTTTCTCATCTGTAAAATGAGCTGCAGAAGGAAATGGCAAAATCACTCTACTATCTTTGCCAAGAAAACCCCAAATGTTGTTGTCACGCAGAGTTTGAAATGACTGAATGACATCAAGCAGTCAGTCAGTCCATACAAACAGGATAATTGTAATACCCTTTTGGGGATGGTTTGAAAAATAATCAACTTCTGCATTTTAAAAAATTCACTTCTATATCAACAGCAAGAGCAATAATTACAGATAGTTATAAGGGGTGTCAAAATTTGCAAAGAACCTCAGCTAGATCACCTCCTCTGAGCTTCATACACAACCCCAGGGTAGACACTGCAAGTATTATTATTTCCACTTTACAGATGAGGAAGCTGACTCTGAGAGAAGGGAACCGACTGACTGGTGGTCACAGAACTCAGAAATGGCAGATTTGATGTGAATTTTTTTATGTGAATTTTTTTTTTAAGGCAGTTAGGGTTAAGTGACTTGCCCAGGGTCACACAGCTTGTAAATGTCAAGTGTTTGGTCTGAGGCCGCATTTGAACTCAGGTCCTCCTGACTTTAAGGCCAGTGCTCTTTCCACTGCGCCACCTAGCTGCCCCTAGAAATGGCAGATTTGAACCCAAAGCACTGCAGACGCTTCTCTTCTCCATCTCCGCAGCCACAGTGAGATCAAGCTGCCATTGCTCCTAGAAAGAGTCTTCAGTCACCTCCCCTTTGGCCCCACTCAACGCCCCTGGGACTTCCCAGAAGGAGATACCCCTCCCCATCTCCTGGATCTGTAGTCTTTTCCTATTAGAAAATAAGTTCCTTGAGGACAACGACTGTCTCCCCTTTTTATTTGTATCCCCAGTGCTTTCGCACAGTTTCTGGCGTATTTGTGGTGGTTCAGTCATGCCTGACTCTTCCTGACCCCATTTAGGGTTTCCTTGGCAGAGATACTGGAGTGGTCTCTCATTTCCTTCTCCAGCTCATTTCATAAATGAGGAAACTGAGGCAAACAGGGTAAAGTGACTTGCCCAGGGTCACACAACTAGTAAGTGTCTAAGGCTGGATTTGAACTCGTGAAGATGAGTCTTCCTGACTCCAGGCCCGGTGCTCTATGCACTATGGCACCACTTTGCTGCCTTCTGAGAGCCTATATGTCCATAAGTATGTATACATTATTTCCTTCATTAGAATGGAAGATTCCTGAGGGCAAGAACTGTGCTTTTGCTAGGAAGTGTAGGAGGGCAAATTTGAACTCAGGTCTTCCTGACTCCAGGCCCAGAGCTCTATCTACTGAATCACCTAGCCAAACAGAAATTAAGTGACTTGCCCAAGGTCACACAATTAGTGTCTGAGGCTGGATTTGAACCCAGGTTTTCCTGACTCTAGGCTCATCTCTCTATCTACTGCACCACCTAGCTGCAATGTCGGACACCTCGTGAGCCTTAATACATGTCTTTTCATTCATTCAGGTCTTACTGACTCCAAACACAGCCATTCTGGCACTTAAAAAAAAAACCCTTTATTTTTCAAGCTTTAGGCACCATTAACCAATTAAAGAGGTCTCAAGATGGATATTGGGATGTTTACCCCCTACTTAAAGTCAGAAAATAGGTATCAATGTGGTGCCTCATTCTCCAAATGTCTAATCCTTTGACTTCTCCACTTACTTCTCCAATGGAGTTTTTTTATTATTATTTTAATGGACAGTGTTCTTTTAATGGTTCCCATTTTAGGACTTAATGGAAAGCAGACTGACATCAAGGTTTTATACAGAAGGTCCATTAAAAGAATGGCATAGAGATGGCCTCTTGGGACAGCCGACCTCTCCATGATCTCTTGTGATTGGAGCAAATCACTTTCTCTGCCCTAGCCTCAGTTTCCTCATCTAGAAAATGAAGGGATTGGACTAGATGACCTCCTAGGGCCCTTCCATCTCTAAATAGGAAGGAAGGAAGGAAGGAAGGAAGGAAGGAAGGAAGGAAGGAAGGAAGGAAGGAAGGAAGGGAGGGAGGGAGGGAGTAAGGAAGGCTTCTCTGCAGGTGATAGTCTTAAAACAGGAGATTCTGCACCTTTTTTCTATCCTGGACCCCTTTGGCAGTCAGTCTGGGGAAACCTACTCCTCAAAATTATTTCTTTAGATGCACAAACTAAAGTACAAAGGATTACAAAGGAAACCGATTGTATTGAAATAGAGTTATAAAAAATTTAATTTAAAATCCTTTAATTCACAGACCCCAGGTTAAGAATCTCTGTTTGGAACATGCTCCAGGACACTGAAAGTGTGAGTGACTTGCCTAGGGTCACTGAACCAGTAGCTGCGGGAGGTAGGGCTTGACCCCAGGTCGTCCTGCCTCTAAGGCCAGCTAGGCCAGCTATCTATCCACTAGGCCGTGTTGGTTTGAAAACCGTAAAAGCCTTATGACAATGTGATTCATGATGATGTTACAAGTTTTGCTGTAAAACCGTGACCAGAAAGCTCAAAACTGATTAGATTTCTGGAGATCAGAGAGAAGTGACGTCAGGTGTCATCGACGCAGAGTCAAAGCCTTGGAGTCAGAAGAGCCGGCTTCACATCCCACTCGTGACGCCTCTCAGCTGTGAGACTGTGGACCAGTTAATTTATCTCTCAGTGCTTCCTTTCCTTCATCTGTAAAATGGGCATAACACCTGTACTACAGAGCCCTCACAGGATTGGTTGTGAGGCTCGAATGAAATAATGTAGGGAAAGTACTCTGAGGACTTTGATGTTCTCTGTCAACATCCATCTTCATCATCATCATCATCATTAATATTATTATTACAAAGGGAGGTCTTTACACATCAAAAAGCCAGTTATTAGATTAATAATAAAAATAATAAAAACATTTATATATTATCTACTATGTGCCAGGCACTGTGCTAAGCACCTTACAAATATTATCCCATCTGATCCTCACAACCGCCCTGGAGGTAGATACTGTTATTTATAATCACTTTCTGACAGTCTTCTATTCCCTGGATATGTGCCCTTAATGCTGCCCCCTCCTCAGTCCCCGTCTGTGACTGAAGCTCGAGTCGCCACCAGAGGGCGTTCCCAGCCTTTCCCGCCCCAGCCTACTAAGTCTATGGTGAAGCATCACCTCTGTAGCCCTTAATGGGCTTCTGCAATCTCTCATCTTCCAGATAGGTCCATGTTATTCTAGAGCTCACTGGCCCCCTCCTGCCGTTTAGCTGCTGCCAGGATGGACTGCCCAGCAAAGAGGATTTGTTCAGCCAGCTCTGCTCAGCACAGGGCTTGTCTGGTGCCTTCCTTCCATTGGGATTTAATTAGTATCTGTCAAACTGAATTGTTTCAACAAACCTCTCTACATGCGTCTTTCTGGATTTCTTTTGAAGTTTCCTCATAAATGACATTCGTCTCCCGACCCCAGACATTTTCACTGGCTGTCCCCCACGCCTAGAATGCTATCTCCTCATCTCTGTCTAATGCTTCTCCTCTCTTTACTATCACCACTTCATCCTGTCTATGGCTTGTCGTCTCCCCTGTTAGATTGTGAGCTCCTCAGGGCAAGGACTGATTTTTCCTCTCTTTGTATCCCTGGCACTTAGCACACTGCCTGCCTGCCTGCCTGCTTTATCAGTCCAGTGAGGGCATCCGACTTCTGAGGTTCTCCATGCGCTAAATCTCTGATCTTATGACAATTTTCCCAAAACTGGTTATTTTAAAAGCCTCAGGATACTTCTTCAACAACTAACGCAGGTAGGCAGGTTGAGGACTATGCAGATGTGTTTTGTTGCAAATAGAGTGTCTAATCAGGCTGTTCTACCCCCTTTTTTTTTTCATACAGTCGAACAACATTATGCCTCCAATGTGCAGAAAAGTCAACTTGTTCAAATGGACATTCGGATAGCCCGGAAACTACAAGATGTGGAAAACCAGGGAAGCGAACTGGGAAAATCTCACCAACAGAAAAAAATGTAGGGGAACACTGAGCCTTCATCCTTCACCCCTAGTTTTTCTATTCCACAAATTCTTTGAACTACCCCCCCCCCGTTTTTGTTTCTGTAACTCCTACTAGGGAAGGAAGCCTGGGGAGATGGAAGGAGGAGGGGATTTGTCATCAAAGGTTTTTTATTGTTCGGTCATTTCAATTGTGTTTCACTCTTCATGACCCCATGTGGGGTTTTCTTGGCAAGGATACTGGAGCAGCTTGCCGTTTCCTTCTCCAGCTCATTTTACAGATGAGGAAACTGAGGCAAACAGGGTGAAGTGACTTGCCCAGGGTGACACAGCTAGGAAGTGTGTGAGGCAGGATTTGAACTCAGGTCCTCCTAATTCCAGGGCTGGTGCTCTATTTACTGCACCACTTAGCTGCTCTGCCTGGCCAGTAGTAAGTGCTTAGTAAGTGTTTGTGAATGGTTAGAAGCAGATCCAGAAGTTGGGTTATTCCTTTTGGGCCAGCAGGATCATTTCCTGCTTGGAGATGTTCCTCGGCCTTGCACACCAAGGTTGAAAATCGAACCTGCTCTATGGGATGTGCTTGGTTTGTCCCCCGCTTACTCACCCTTCTCACTGATATTTAGGGAGGAGAGTGACTCAGAGCTGGCTCGATCAATCCAGGAAGAAATTCACCGGAAAGCAGAGGAGCGGCGGCAGAGAGAAGAAGATGACCAGGTGTGGGGCAGGCGGTGCCGGGGCTTGGCCCTGCCCAGACTGAGTGGGGAACGTTGGGTTCCTGTTGAGGCACCGTGGTGTGGGAAGGATGCTAATAAGCCGGCAAGCCTTTAGAGGATGCCCTGAAACCCACGACCTAACATTCAGATTTCTGGTTCTAATCCCTTGCTAGACAGTGACAATGTCCTTTATAATTCATTTGTCTACTGTTGGTCAGCCATTCAGTCATGCGTGACTCTTCTTGGACTCCAAGGACCATGGCCCACCACGCTCTCCTGTCCTCCACTATCTCTCTAAGTCTCTCCGAGCTCACGCTCGTTGCTTCCGTGACACCATCTCTCCATCTCATCCTCTGCCATCCCCTTCTCCTTTTGCCTTCAATCTTTCCCAACATCTGGGTCTTTTCCAGTGAATCGCGTCGTCTCATTGTGTGGCCAAAGTATTTAAGCTTCAGTCATTTCTCAAGGGCCCGTTTCAGTGTCACGATCAATCTATCTCTGATGTCGTTGAGGAGGGTCCTCCCTTTACTGGTGGAGACCACAGTCCTTCCTGTGCAGCTTGTCTGTACCCTCCCATAAATCTGCCATAGAGGGCTCTGAGAACCTCCCTTTATGTATGCTGAATTTATGGGCTACCAGTGCAGTACATAGGGAATCAGATACCCCTTGTGTTCCCTTTCCTGGGCCTCAGTTTCCTCATCTGTAAAATGAAGAGATCAAACTCAAGGCCCTCTGAGACTTAGACTGTATGCTCCTTGAGGACAGGGCCTGTTTTTTGCCATTCTTTATATCCCCATTGCTTAGCACTGTACCTGGCACATAGTAGATACTTAATAAATGCTTATTGACTGACTCTAAGATTCCTTTTAGTTCTAAATCTATAATCCTGTAACCCCTGACATAGAAAGGATTTAACAAATGCTTGTGGATTGAAGAGGTCTGTGCTTTTAACAACCTGAAAGGTCATGACTCTTCTGAATTATTATTAATAATAACAATTCATATGATGCTTTAACAGTTGCAAAATGCTTTTACATATATTACCTCATTTGATCCTCGCAACAATATTGTGAGGTAGGTGTTATAGAATCATTATCCTTGTTTTACAGATGAAGAAATTGAGGGTTAGAGGGGTTAAATGACTTGGAGGATTTTAGGTAGGAAACAAGCATTTATTAAGTGCTTATTATATACCAAATGCTGTGGTAAGCACTTCATAAATATTATCTCATTTATCCTCACAACAACCTTGGGAAGGAGGTGCTATTATGATTCCCGTTTTACAGTTGAGGAAACTGAGGCAGGCAGAGGTTAAGTGATTTGCCCAGGGTCTCACAGCTGGCAAGTGTCTGAGGCTGAATTCGAAACCAGTTCTTCTTGACTCAAAAGTCCAGCACTCTATTCACAAGTACATCCAGCCTCTGGTGAGGCCTTTACTGAAATAATTTCCGGATCTCTATTTCCTCATCTATAAAATGGACTCGGAGGTAGGAGGGTACAGAGGTGTAAGAAGTCCTGGGTTCCATTCTCATGTTTTATTTTTCGCTTGGGTAACTTTAGGAAAGTCACTTGATCTTTCTGGGCCTCAGTTTCCTCCTCTGTAAAATGAGGGTTGTTGGAGTAGATGGCCTTGCCTCCTAGATCCCTTCCAGCTCTACACCTATCATTCTATTTAATTAATTCAATAAATATTTAATAAGTGCCTACTATATGCCAGGCACCGTGCTAAGCACTGGGGATGCAAAAAGAGGCAAAAGCAGCCCCTGTCCTCAGGGAGCTTACAGTCTAATGGGGAAGACAACATGCAAACAAACAAATATACGTGTGTGTGTGTATATATAAATGTATACATATACATACACACACATACCAAGCTATCCACAGTACAAATAGGGATTAAAGACAGAACACACTGGAATTAAGAGGGATTTTGATTATACCTTTCTGATCATGCATTTCCTTTTCTCATGAATTACAGTGGCAAATTGAAAAAATAATAAGCCATCATCTTGTATCTTGGATTTCATTGTATGAATCACCATATTTATTTTAGGACACGGTAGACTTTGGAGATGAGAGCCCTACTGGTAGTTGGTCTTCACTGCCCCCTTGTGGTGAAGGTTTTTAGAACCCTCATTTCCTTCAAATTTCTCCTCATTGTTTTTTCTTTCATAAAGAAACCTGAAAGGGTCCGAGATTTAGAATTGGAATCACTGCCATTGTAGAGATGAGAAAACTGAGGCCCAGAGAATAAAGGGATTTACCCAAAGTCATCCAAGTTCTTAAGTGGTAGGGGTGGGATTTGAACCCAGGTCTATTTCAGCTCCAGAACTATTAAGCACATAGTAGGTGCTTCATAAATGTTTATTGATTGATGTTTCTTGAATTCTACCTTTGTAAATTCTTACAGAAGGATTTGAGGATCTTCGAGCCTAGAGATAACGAGAAGACTTTGGGTCTCTTGTAACATGCAATTTTGCCCCCTTTCTTGGTAGCCCAATAGATAGAGCACTGGGCCTGGAGGCAGGAAGACTTGAGTTCAAATCCTTCCTCAGGCACTTATTCTCTGACCCTGAGAAAATCACTTGACCCCTGTCTCCTTCAGTTTTCTCATCTGTAACGTGGGGATAATAATAGGCCCTACCTCCTAGGGCTGTTGTATATCCTACCTGGAGAAAGTGTTTATAAAGCACTTTGCAAACCTTAAAGAACTATATAAATGCTAGCTAGATAAGTAGAATTGCTATTATTATCAGTATTACATCCAGCACTTCTGGGAGGAGCTGGCCACATAAGTCTGTGAATTGGTTACCCTAAACTGAGGCTGTAGAAAAAATAGAGTTCGCGGCAGGTAGGTGGCGCAGTGGAGAGAACACCAGCCCTGAAGTCAGGAGGACCTGAGTTCAAATTCAGCCTCAGACCAAACACTTGACACTTACTAGCTGTGTGACCCTGGGCAAGTCACTTAACCCTAATTGCGACAGAAAGAAAGAAAGAAAGA